AATATTTTTAAATATTATAATTATCTATTTAAAAAGATTTATAAATATCAATTAAATTAAATATAAATTAAATAGCCTTAATAATTTAATTAATGGTCATAACTACACTCATACGGGAGTTGCAATTGAAATTTCTTTGGTACTTTATAAAAGTTTGAACAACTATTGCTTAGTTAGTATTGTATTAAATTATACAATTTAAATTATTAAATGAAATTAAAATTTTTTATACTAAAAATGAGAAAAAAAGAATCAAGACATTCTGACATTAAAAATGTCATGGCATCTAATTACAACCACTAAACATGTGAGGTATAGTGTGGGTCCTAAATTTATTAAATTCATCATTTGATTATTAATAGATATTTTAACAATTTTAATATCAGGACACTCTAATTTTCTCTTTTCCAATTAAAAATTATATTTTATCCAATAATTTTTAACTAACGATAAAAAGTTCTAAGACATTTTGCATCACAATAGAAACCTTTGACTAATGCATATTATCATTGAATTATTTTTGAATTCTACACCAACTCATACTAGGGAAGCAAACTTTTTTATTTTACACCATGTAGAATTAATTCATCAATATAACCATCCGTGCTACCAGCTCTTTCTCACCTTTCTCCTAAATGGAAGATATGAGAGATTCAATTGCAGTACTACAGATTGTGAGGATGGTTATCAAGTTTCATCCATTATTGACAATAACCAGTATTGTCTATCGGGTAATACTTTTGCAAGATTGGATTGAAGATGAGATGAGCAATCAATTGAAAGCTCTCAAGGTGTATTTCCAATCAAAAATGAGATCTCTGCTGGATCCTATTATTGAGAAGATGAAAAATCTATCAGAAGCCCTTGAGATGCATCTCCACAACGAAGTAGCAAAGGATCAACTAAAGGCCAAACTAGTCGGTAAACTTGCCATGTTCTCCGCCATATTTCTTTTACTGAATACACAGTTAAGTTCAAAATATGATAGAAGAGGAGTCAAAATGCAGTTATTGATGATTATTGGCCTTAGCCCATTAACACATTCAAAACATTGGAGTCAATTTAAGATTCTTCATGGAAGGAGCAGCTGTATGGTAAATTCAACATCAAACTTCACCTTCTTTTTTATGGCACTTCTTTTTTCAAAATTTTATGATAATTCCTTGATGGGCCTTAGTGCTATGTTGTGCATCTCAGTTTTTCTTCTATGCGTACTAGTGGTATTACGACCGCAAACAGACCTTGGGTTGTTTAGTTTTATCATTGGAGTCGTTGGATCTATTACTTACAACCGTTATGGGTTG